CTGAAGAAAATCAACCAGATTCCTCAGCTCCATCTGCACCTATACCAACACCAATTCTTCCATCTGCCTTTGATGTGAAAAAGACCAAGGCTGCAGAGTGAGCTGCAGTGAAGAAAAGGAAGGCATCAGCTGTGTCAAATTCTTCGGCTGCGAAGAAAATGAAGCCAATGACCAGCTCACTTGAAAATCCAATTGATACTGTTCCGATTTCCTCCATGCCATCAAAGGACCTTGTTCCTTTTGGAGAAGACTATGAGATCCCAATCGGATCTGATGAAGAACATCATTCTGCTGCTTCATTAGAGCAGATTGATGAAGAAATTGAAGTGGACGCAATCCCTTCAACGCCAGTCATTTCCTCGCCTATGCCTCAGTTCACAGCTGAAGAGGCTGGTGTTGAGGAAATTGAAGATGAAGATGTGGATATAGGGTGCACCACACCTATGATGAATGATGACTTTTGGGAAAGTCAGCATCCCAATACTCCTCTCTTCACCCTGATCCAACAGATTCCTCAGTCCCCTGCACCAACAGTTCAAATGGGCTCTGAAGAAACTCAACCCACTCTCTCTGTGCATGAAGAAATTCCAGCCACTAGTGCTGATGAACCTGATGCTGCTGATCCTCAGACTGCACCTGTTGAGGAACAAGAAATTCCTCAGCCTGAAGAACCTGAGCTCGCGATTCCTGAGGTGGTGATGCAACTCACTGACACCCCTCTACCAAAGCAAAAGAATCCGTTCTCAAGCAAACAGAAGTTCAAGGCTGAAGATTTCTTTGCCGAGCATGTATTCTTCACTGATTATAATCCATATGATTCTGCTCGCATAAGGAAAAGGCGTTTCTGGACTGCCAGCCAAGCCAATTTCTATTCCTCAGTGCTCTTCAACAAAGACAAAGTCTTCGATCATGCACATATTCCTCATGTGGACATGGAGTCTCTGCCCGGCTTTGAGCCAGTCCTCAATGTTCTTCACGATGCAGGACTTCTGAATTTCTGCATTGATATCTATGACTGGAATGAAGAACTCATTCTTCAATTCTATGCAACTCTGCACATCATCGGAGACGCTGAAGACGTGAACTCCTAGGTATTAGACTGGATGTCTGAAAATACTCACTACAAGGCACCAGCAACTGAATTGCTTCGTGCTCTACCACTCAGTCCTCCACTTGATGATGCTCGTTGTATCTACAACGAACCAGAACTTTCAAATCACTATATGCAAGTGCTGATGAAGCCTTTGAAGCCAAGGCAGGCCCCACGAACCAAATTCCTCGTCAAGGAATTACTGTATGTGCCTCGGACTATCTATCGAATTCTGACGAAGACAATGAGTCCCATCAAAGGCCACGACTAAAATGATGAAGAAGTCGTTGGCATCATGAAGAATATGCTTTTCAACATCATTCATGGCGTTCCCGTCAACTTCCATGATTTGGACTCTGGCCAATATTGCTATGTCACCATTCGAGCTGAAGCCCTATGCTCCTTGGATTATGAGATTCATCAGGGCAAGATCTTCACTGAATTACAAAGCTAACACTCTGAACCACGGTAGCTACTTGCCTCCCATTGAAGTCCTCAAACGGACAGTTTCATCATCTGATGATAAAGGCAAGGCCGCTGCTGTGATCGATGAAGGCATTCGTCCATTGGATGGTCAATTTCACAAGGCTGCATCTTACTCTACCAATGACGATTCTGCCACACATGACTCTGCCGCAAATACCTCAGCCAAGCAAAATCCTCAAGCCACAGCACCCAGGATGATGACTGACCGTGGGTTACTCCTCAGTCTTCATCAGAAGGTTGATCGCAATCATAAATGGGTCAAGCGTCAGTTTGATTCAATTCTTCACAACATGACCTCAACACATAATGCAGTGAAGAAAAACCAATACTACCTCCATGAACCTTCAACCGTACCTGGGCTGTTCTCTCTCATGTCTACAGCGCTGCAGATCTGAAGAATATGGGTCTCAAGGAAGAATTTGACTGGTCTGCACCTCCACCGAAGAAATTCAAGAAGGTCAAAGTTCCTTCCTTGGTGGCCAGCTCTTATTCTTCATCGCACGACACTGATGAGTATGAAGACTTGGACGACACTGCGGCAGGCCCTACTACAACAACCGACCCCAACAACGCTGGCGCTCCTCCATCAACTTGATATTCTTCAGGGCCGTTAGTCCTCAGTTTCAATCCTTTTGGTCATTTGATGACAAAGGGGGAGAAATCTGATTTAGTCTTCAAGTGGGTTTATATTAAGGGCATTTTTTTAAGTTACAACTCTCGTCTTCTGAGACTTTTATTTGGATCGAGTTGTAATCTTAAACCCGATGGTGCGCCGATACTTTTGTTGCATTATGCTTTGCATGCTTATTCCTCATTAATGACATTGCACGCATGCTGAATCACATCAGGCACCATATTTCATCATGCATTTCAAATTCCTCATATTATATATCAAATGCGTGTATGAATTACAAGATATAGGGGGAGATCTCCATGATTCAACTCTTCAAATGTGCATTGCCACTTGGCGACCCCACTTCCATAGAACATGCAAACATGGCCAAATCCCATTCCTTATCTGATCCATCTGAAGATTCATCTGAAGTGTCCATCTGCCACATAAACATACACAGGAGAGTTTAGCAACAACATACAAAATTACCAACAATAGTTATACATGATACAATACAATTCCAAAGCAAACAATTATGTTCTGAACAAGTGAACATTGCATTATGAGAGCAAACAACATGTTCAGGACATTACAAGTTGGAAGCAAAGGACTGGGTTCACAACATTACATGTTTCAAAGCAAATAGTTGGAAGCAAATGATACATATCGGTTCACATCATTACAAGTTCAAAGCAAATAGTTGGGTTCTACTTATTTTTGTTTAGCTCCCATGTCCTCTCTATCCATCGAAGCCTTGCACTAGGTTCATGATCCTTGAATGTTACAAAAATATCACGATATTTCCTTTCCAACATAAGATGGGAAGCATAGAAATGCACATCACTCCCGGGTTTAGCACCATCTGCAATCACCATGTTCATCATGTCTCCAATCTCCTTTCTTGTTGTATCCTCTCCTAGGTTTCCCTTTCTCTTTTCTCTTGCACCAAAGAGGTCAACCATACGTACAAGTGTATCAGTTTTAACACTTTCATTTGACCACTTCTCATTCATCCTAGGACTTGGCGAATAAGAACATGGCATCTTCTTCCCAATCTTGGCACGCTTCGTACGAGGTGTAGCTTCGACATCATGACTTTCACAACCTGAATCATCATCCATATTAAAGCGAGATGAACCACTTTGATATGTGGGAATTGGCACCCTAGCATGTTCATTTGTGACACAGCAAGCATCAAACACCTCTCTCATTTTGTCCTCCTCTGCTAGTGGAGCATACCTTTATCACTCACTACTTGAATGAATGACATGGCAGCAAAATACCTTTATCTCAATTGCCCACCACTCATCTGTAGCTGCAATGGTCTTTGTATATTCATCTCTACCAATGCCAGTTGCTTTTTGAGTCAATGTCTTCCATACACTGTAGTCTGCTCTACATATATCCCATCTATTCTTCAGTTGGTCGAAAGAATAATTTCTCCCGAAGCGCTCATTGAACTTTCTAACCAAATTAGCTTTTCCAATGTCGGTTAAAGTGGTGCCACCACGGTTATTAGCTCGCACCTCCTCTACACATGCATCCATAAAAATGGTATGCGCTGCACTGTCCCAGTTTGCTTTAGGGGGCTTGGTTTTCTTTTCTTTCTCCATCTACAACGTCTATCATTAGCACAAAGCAGTAGCAACACAGAACCACTCACAACTAGCATTGAGCAATTGTAGTAGAAAAAAGAATTTTAAAAAATCATCTACCTACACAGTACAGAAAAGAACTCTTGTTCCCTGTAGAGAAAAGAGCTACAAATCAAGCAAATCTAACAAATAAACTAACATCATCTACATCCATCCATCAATCAAGCAAATCATCTACGTCTATCTAGCAATCCATTGTTCCATGTACAGAAAAGAGCTACAAATCATCTACATCCATCTATGCATCCACTCTTCTATGTACAGAGAAAATACAAGAGAGAGAGAGATGGAGAGAGAGAGGCTCACCGAGGCAGCGGATAGAAGACAGCAGCAGCCGGCTGGATGGGCTCGTCGGGGCCGGCGGAGGACGGCGGGGAGGGCGGAGGATCTCAGGGGCTGGCGGGATGGGGGTCGGAGGAGGCGGCGCTGAGCACTGCTTTGGCCGGCCGGATGGACGCGTCGGGGCGACGCTCGTCTGCTCCGGCAAGGTTCCGATAAGGCGCGCGTCTGGGCTCGAGGGAGGAGGGGCGGCGGGTCAGGAACCCTAGCGGCGGCTGGAGGAAACAGAGCGAGAGCGAGGGGGAATCGAGCGAGGACAGGGGAGCGAGCGGCAGATGTGTTTTCTGGGCTGCGGTCGGTCGGGCCGTGGAAGGGCATTTTGCCTGTAATTTCATGGTGAGATAGGGGTACAGTCTGAAAACCCAAACGTTTTCATTTGCGGGAGGTCCAGAATCGCCAGAATCGACCCAAAACGCTGCTTTTCAGTTGCACTGTCGATTGTGGTCTAATTTTGACGATTCTACAGAATCAAAACGAGTTCTTTCTAGCTTTTGATTTTTCAGACCCAGAATCTGCATAATCGGGTCAAAAGAACCGGGCCGCGACTTTTCTGGTAACGCTGGGGCAGTCTGGTAAATTCCTGCGCCGGTGGCGGCCGATGACGGTCTGGTCTTGGTGGTCTTGGGAGCCGCGCACTCCCGTTTCTTCTTCCTCTCGCACGCGGTCGCTGCATATTCTCCCACACCCCAATTTCTGCTTCTACTTCGTGTCCTCCGATCGCACCCAACTTCAGCAAGTTAAACGTGGGTTGTCTCTACCCTACGGCCACAAACAGAGGCCTCGACACCGGAGGGAGGCGGTGAGATCTCCCGGCGGCATGTCGTTAGATTCGGACTCCTCTTCGCAGGGCGGCGACCGCCGGAGCTTCCGGCAGATCACACGAGACCGTAACCACTCCTTTTGCTCCCCTCCTCCCCCGCCTCTTCTGATTTTGATTTGCTTGCCTAATGTTGTCACTGGAACTGGGCCGCTGGATCTAGCTGCTTGTGGAGTTGGAGAAATTGGGATTGTCGTGTAAACTTGTTGTTTAGGGCTCATAGCGGAGTAGGTTATTTTACACGTTTGTTGCCTTTAACTTTAGGTCTTCAAAATGCTTCATTACCGTTGAACTGTGAGTTGTAGTCGTATCAGCCAGTTGGGTAGCCATTTGTTTCGTTATATTTGTTGCTCGAGTATGTGCTTCTCAATATACGGAGATCATGTCTAATGGATTATGGGGCAAGCTAACACACTGGACAATCGGGGCATCACATCTCCTTTTTCCCCAAGGAAACACAAAAGCTTCGCGTCTAGATGCATTGATAGAAGAAAAAGTGCCTTAGAAATATGCTCACTTTAGGTGCCTAAGTGCGCCCTGTCAGTGCCTTAGAAATATGCTCACTATAGGTGCCTAAGTGCCCGCTTTAGGCGCATAGGCGTCAGAGCGGGTGGTACTCGCCTTAGGTTGCTTTACCGCCTTATAAACGACGCTGATTACAATGCCACGCCCCTGCTCCTAAGTGCGAGGTTCGATGGAAGAAGCGTCGCGAGCCACCGCCCTTGCCAACGCACCGAGGCTCAGCTCGGGTAGCATTGGGCAGGCCGGTGATGTTGGGCTGCTCGCTATCAAAGATGGCCGCGTTTCTCTGCTTGTAGGTCCACCAAACTGTGAGCCTGATGATCAACGAGGTAATCCCCCCCCCCCCTTCCCCGAAACCTGAATAATGGCAAGGAGCTCTTTTTGAGTAGTAGGCAAACCATATTTCCAAATTAGCCTATTTACTTCATATTTATATCTTCATGTGTAATGAGGATATTATTTATGAAGAAATAGTGAGAAAATGTTTGAGCTAATATAGGTATCGAAACCTATGTTTTTAAGGCGGTAAGGCGATCTAAGGCGCTGGGGGGGCGCCTTATCGCCTAGGCGACGCCTAAGCGCCTAAGGCGGACGCCTAAGCGCCTAAGGCGGGCATATTTGTAAGGCGCTGGCGGGGCGCCTTATCGCCTAAGCGTCGCCTAAGCGTCCAAGGCGGGACGCCTTAAAAACAGAGATCGAAACCCACACATTATGGGGTATGGGGAAGGAATTTCTAGGCAGCGCCAATACAGGTGCCGAAATCCACACATTATGGTGCACTTGGTACATATGATAGTATGAAGGAGGATCCTTCATCTGATGGTGATGAGAACAAAGCACAGATGCAGATATGGATGATAAAGACCCTAACAGGAAATGAGGTGCAGCGTCTGAGAAGCCTACCACCCCGGACGGTGTGCAGGGTGGGGCAGCATATGAAGTGGGTACTTAAGTGCATCAAGTTGAGTCCTTGGGGAATGCAGCTGCTGTTGTGCCGCCGAGCCCATCTGCAAAAAGAGATCCAAAGCATACCAACTCATCATCATCTGGAGAAACAAAGGATGACAACACATCAACCAGCTGAGAGCAATGAGATTCTTCAGTTGGAACTGTCACGGCCCGGGCTTGCCCGCGACAGCCCCAACCGTGCTGTGTATTTTGTCAACTCAGGTGCACAAGACGCGGGTCGAAAGTTGTAGAATCAGGGAAGAGAGGGGTGGCGGCTGGGATAGAGAGATAGCCTGGTGTTGTATTCTATTGGAGTTAGGATTCCCTGTACAAGGGGTCAGCACATATATAGGCTGCTGGGTTACATGGGCCACATGGGCCATAAGCGCGCGCACACACACACTGAAGTACAGATAAGACACAGCCCAACACTCCCCCTCAAGAGGGATGATAGATATCTATCATGCCCATCTTGTCACAAGCAAGATTGCTCTCCCTGGTTCCCAAATCTTTTGTCAGACAATCGGACTTGTTGTCCAGAGCTCACATGAGTTATCTTGATGATTCCTGCATCCAGTTTCTCTTTGATAAAGAATCTGTCTATCTCCACATGTTTTGTTCTGTCATGTTGCACTGGATTATTAGCAATGCTGATTGCAGATTTGTTGTCACACCACACATTCAGAGGATCTTGTCTGAGCACTTTCAGCTCAAGCAGAAGGCCTCTTACCCATAACATCTCACTCAGCCCTTGAGACATTGCCCTATACTCGGCTTCTGCAGTTGATTTTGACACCATCGGTTGTTTTTTGCTTCTCCATGATACCAAATTTCCACCAACAAACACACAATAGCCAGAGGTTGATCGTCTATCATCAAGACAATTAGCCCAATCAGCATCGCTATAACCGTCAACATTCAAATGGCCATTACTCTTGAACTAGAGTCCCATATCAGGGCTGCCCTTTAGATACCTCATGATTCTATAGACTGCATCAAGGTGTCCACTTCTAAGTTCATGCATATATCTACTTACTACACTTACTGCATATGTAATATCTGGTCTAGCGTGACACAAGTATTGAAGTTTGCCAACCAATTGTTGGTATTTTGCTTTGTTAACTTGTTCACCCATCTGTGCTGTCAATTTGTGATTTTGTTCAATGGGAGTTGGGGCTGCTCTACATCCAAGCATTCCCATATCACTTAGGAGCTCTAAGGTATACTTCCGCTGAGACAGGGCTATTCCCCTCTTTGATCTTGCAACTTCGATACCCAGGAAATATTTTAGCTGACCAAGATCCTTAACTTCAAATGCTTTGCCTAGGCATTTCTTTAGTCTTCCAATCTCCTCTTCATTGTCTCCCGTTATTATGATGTCATCCACATATACTGCAAGAATTGTAATCTGTTGCTTGGAATGTTTATAGAAAACAGTGTGATCTCCATTGCATTGTTTATACTCCATACTGCAAACTGCTTGCCTTAACCGGTCAAACCAAGCCCTTGGCGATTGCTTCAAACCGTAGAGAGATTTTCTCAATCTACAAACCTTCCCAACAGTCCCAGGTGTAGAAAGTCCAGGAGGAATTTCCATGTAGACTTCCTCTTGTAGATCTCCATGTAAGAAGGCATTTTTACATCAAGTTGGTGTAGTGGCCATCCAAAGTTAGCTGCACACGAGATTAGAATCCTCACTGTATTCATCTTTGCAACTGGGGCGAATGTTTCGTCATAATCAATACCATACGTTTGGCTGTACCCTCTGGCTACTAGTCTTGCCTTGTAACGCTCAACCTTACCCTCAGGATTCTGCTTCACTGTGAAGATCCACTTACAACTGACTGCCTTCTTCCCATCTGGAAGATTCGCTAGCTCCCATGTTTTGTTCTTTCTCAGGGCCTCCAACTCTTCCCTCATGGCTTCACACCACTTTGGATCTTGTCTTGCTTCTTTCCAGTCTTTAGGAACAATCACGACTTGAAGTGATGCGACAAATGCTCTAAATGAAGGTGATAGGGCTTCATAGGTGACATAATTACTGATGTCATGCTCAAGATTGCCCTTGCTCAAAGTTTTCCTTGCTACTTCCTGCTTGAGAGCAATTGGCAGGTTAGGTGATGCTTCTTCAGTACTTGAATTCTCATATGACTCCACTGCAGATGAGCTTCCTGTTGCTTGAGTTTCTTCTGACTGCTCCCCTTGTTCCATAGTTTCTTTTGATTGCTCCTCATGCACTTGTTCCTCCACAACTCTCTTCCTTCTTGTATACACCTGAGGATTCCTTTCCTCATTTGGTCTCTGCCACATCTGCTGTTCAGCCCCATCAACTACAACCGGAATGAAGGATCCCACTATTTTCGGGGTTGGTATTGGCTGCTCCTTGCCGCCATTGGCGCTGCACTCACCCCTCGAGTTGCACTCCCCCTCTTGACCACCCTGCATAGATTGTGAGTGGTCAAGTTCTTCGAATAAAGTGCTGAGATCTGTCTTCTCACCATAGAAAGGCCCAGATTCTCGAAAGGTGACATCCATACTTACAAATGTGCGCCTTTCAGCATGACTCCAACACTTATAGCCTCGCTGCCCTGCAGGATATCCAACAAATATGCATTTTACAGCTCGTGGATCCAGCTTTCCCACTGCTGGTCTGTGATCTCCAACGAAGCAGGTGCACCCAAATAACTTTGGAGGAACTGAGAATTTGTTCTCCCCAAATAGCATCTCACACGGGGACTTCATACCAAGCATTTTTGAAGGCATCCGGTTGATCAGGAACGTTGTAGTCATGACGGCTTCACAAGAATTTTGGCACATTCATAGTGAACATAAGTGATCGAGCCATTTCTAAAATGTGTCGGTTCTTTCTTTCTGCAACACCATTCTGAGCAGGGGTATCTGGACATGATGTTTGGTGCATTATGCCTTGTGCTGACAGAAAACCTCCAAATTGCTTGTTTACATATTCAGTTCCATTGTCAGATCTGCTCACCTGCACCTGCACATTAAATTGGTTTTGCACATAGGCATAAAACTCCTGAAAACATTGGAATACCTCATCTTTATGTCGCATGAGGTACACCAAAGTCATGCGAGTGTGGCAGTCTATAAATGTCACAAAATATTTCATTCCACTAACAGAAACAACAGGACATGTCCACACATCAGAGTGAATCAGCATAAATGGGGATATACTCCTTAGCCCCTTACTCAAATATGAGATTCTTGTGTGCTTTGCATATTCACATGCATCACACATAAGCTTACTCTTGTCTACTCCACACATTACATCAGGAAACATCTTACTCATCTTATCAAAAGCCATATGCCCCATGCGGCAGTGATGGATCATCGCCATTGTCTCACTTACTCCAACTAGTACAGCCAAAATAGGACTAGCACCAGACCTAGACACATCACGATCCATATACCACAATCCACTATGCCTGGTTCCTGTCCCAAGTTTCCTTCCAGTCATCCTCTCCTGAATCAAACATATTTTCTTATCAAGAGTTATTCGGCAATCTGTCTGATCAATCAAAGCACTTAGAGAAAGCAAGTTCACAGGAAAAGCTGGAACATGTAATACATCAGATAATT